AAATATAAAAAATGTTCAATTCTTAGTATCTTTAAAGATAGTTATGTTTAAGTTTTATAGGAAATTTATCAAAACGTGTTTTTGAACTTCAAAGTAAGAAGTATAACTAAGAAGTAGCATAAATATAAATAGCAATTTATTAAAATTAAATTTTCTATTATAAAACTAATTGTATAATATTTTGGCCATGCAACACAATAAAAAATGGATTGATATGTTTTGTAAAATTGAAATTCAATTAATTTTAATTGAGTTAGAAAGTTCTTAGCAATAAAATACAAAAAAAATAATAAAGATTTAATTTGTTTTGTTTTACATGACCTTTTTGCTATTTATGCCTAAATAACAAGCAGCCCAATTATGAAAGTTAAATTGCGATAGTATTTATCAAGCACTTGTTATTGCGAAGTAACATCGCAAATTAGCATACATCCAAAATTCCACCTCCATTCCGTACCATTAAAAAATGGGTTAACTTGTCATAAATGCGGGCCTGTTGACAAATCGACTGGAGGCGGGTCAAGGAAGCAACAACTTGGGCCCAATTTGCCTTGCTAAACGAAATGCGAGGAGCGCACGCGAACTCCAGACTTTCAGACGATGTCGCTGCAGCGCCCTAATATATGCAATACGTTTTGTTTAATTGAGTTAACATCCAGTACTTCCCCCGGTTTCCCGCTCTTTTTGGGCTCTGTCTGTAATTACGCGCGGACCGTGAGGCTTTTCTCGTTTGCCTATATTGTTATATGTACTTTGTTAAATCGATGCCAAGCTGCAATGTGCATGCTGTGCCACTTGGGTTGGCATGACGTCTGGGAATTTTCCATTTCCATTTCCTCTTCCTTTTGTCTGCGGGAAGCGACTCCGGTTTTCCTCCCCTCGCAAACTGTTGTTTTCCGACGATTCAGGGTCAACTGCAAGGTGGGGGTGGCGGTCTAGCCTGCGGTTGGTTTTTTTTGTTTGGTTTTTTAGGGTCTGTCTTTGTTGCCGGAAATTGATGGGTGGTTCGATTGGCAGCGCTGTGAGGAAATGGGTGTTTGCTCCAATCCAAGGCTGATGCAATGTTTGAAACCAAGGCTAATGCCAGGAAAGACCCGTGGTGATAAGGTTGAATGGAAAGACGCCAAACTTTGTTAAGCCCTCGAAGGAAAGTTCAAATTGGCAAGCAAGAAACTGCTGAATTGGATATGTTGATCTAAGATATTATCGAGCTTATAGCTTGGCTTGAAACTGGAAATGAAATTTCGTCAGCTTTTATTTTGAACCCCCAAAAATGTTTCGCATATAAAAACTTAAGGTGTTACAAGGATTAACTCTTAATACATTTTTTACTTGGTTATCGAAGCACTCTCTTAATTAGTTTGCATTACCTGCACCTAAAAGTATCTATGTGTAACGTAATCTAAACTCACTTCCTCAATAATTCAACTTAACTCATTTCCTAATGGCTTTTCTTTCCGTACTTTGTTATCCAGCTCACACCTTTTTCTAAGTATTTGCTCTGACGTATACGTAATATGATATACTGTTAAACAACCAACATGAAGTATACGACGCGTAAGCCCAACGAGGGGATGGGTTGGGTCTCATCGCTAGTTGAACTCATTTGTTATGTGCGCAGGTTACGTATTTTACTCCATATACTCCTATTCGATACCTATGCTGTTTATTTCTTTGAAAATTACATAAAAAAAACTGCATGACAGTATTAATTTTGATCTTAGTCTTTTTCATATCAAAATACTTATTTATTCAATGCCGTTAAAAGATTAAATATTGTAAGGTGCCAAAAAAAATGTTTTTTTAAAATTAAAAACAGCTTCCTTGGTGATTTTAAATTTGTTATTTTAAAAAACTATATTTTTTTAAACATAAAACCTTATTTGGAAGATATATTACCAACTTAGGACCAATTCTCCCCAGTGTCATGGCGTGTGTCAAATTCGGTGAACGTGCCGCTAATGAACTGCCTGCCATATTGATGGCGGAAAATAACCATGGCGAATGGCAAAAAATGGGCATGCAATATTCAAAGGCGAATGCATCGGCTTGGCGGAACGTCTGACGGGGCTAATGAGGATTTGGCCAACTCTGGCATTTGGCAGCTCCCCCGCAAGAGCATGAGTCACATGAGTCACAGCATCCCAACCCTGTGACCTTGTCGAATGTCAGAGACTGCCATTGTAGCATGTCCTGGGGGCCAGGAGCACCGCCTCCTCCTGTCAACTGGAATCCGGCTTAAGTTGTCAGGAAGCTTTCGCTGGGGGAGCTCTGCAATCGCTATTTGTTTTCAATTTCCCAACATTTCAAGGCCCTGGCCGGGACTTAATGAAACGGAAGGACCTTCCCCCGGGCCAAGTTAGTATGTTGGTGGCTCGTGGCTCGTGGCGTGTGGTGTGTGGGCCTGAACGATAAGCGGTCAAGGTGAGGGTGGCCAGTTGGGGGTGCTCACTAGTTGGGTGGCAGCCACGCACCACTCAGGCTCAACTTGTTGAGCAGGGCTATATAGGCCAGTAATTGAAAGCAATCGGTAATGATTGCTTTTAGTTGGAAGTGGCCGCCAAGTGGGCCAATAGTTTACGCAATCAACAGGGCGCAGCATTCACCGAAAGAAAATCTTGCTCTTGATATTGGTAGAAACCAAAAAAATCAATTAAAATTGGTTTAATTTAAAATCTTGGTTGGTTTAATTTAAAATCTTGTTTAACAGTGGTAAAGTGAAATCTTTAACTTAATAAGTTTAAATATAATTATTTTGTTATATCTTTAAAATCGGAAATATGTGTCAAATTCTTTTTTCCAACATTATTTTTATCAGATAACTTTATTACTTTGTAGCTAGCAATTTGGCCAGTTACAATTTTTGTTTAATAACCTCTTGATTATACTGAGCCTTGATAAACTTATCAAATTAAGGAATATTGCAAATATCCATATTAACAAAATATAGATATGTAAAATGGCATTAAAAATATTATGTTTAATAACATTAGATATTATAATAAATAATAATAATAAAAACATTTAATAAAGTTATATAAATAATAAAGAGCACCTTTAAGAGTTGTTATTCTGCAAATAACCTAAGAAACAACCTGGTATCTGAGCTGTGTTTTTTATTAATTTCATTCATTTAAATAACTTTACACAAATGAAAAAAAAGTATAAAGATATGAGCACAAAAAGTAACTTTATGAGTTAATATTTTACAAACAACCTAAAAAACAGTCTTGTATCTGAACTGTGGCTTTTATAATGTGTTGTTATTATCCTTGAATAAAAATGATTTGATAACTCTTTTGAAAAAATAAATAAATATCATTTCCTATTCTGTATTCTATTCTATTTATCACTTTTAGCAGTCCCATTGTTAAGTTTTCATTTCCTGACCTATTTGCACTGAGTTTTATGTTTATGGTTAACCATTTAATTTAATGAATCTAGCCCCTGCAAACTGCATTTATTTCTCCAGTCAGGGACACCCATTGTTTACCTTCTTGTCCCCATTTCGATAGTGATAATGATGGATGCGCTTACGAAAGCCAGCCATATGTTACGTTGACCCATTCTCGCATCGCTTACAATGTTTACCTAGTCGTAAGTCAGAGTTTTGGCCAGGGCGCATGCTCACCAAATGAACCCAAACCACTAGCTACCTCAATAAAAGTGCCATTGGCCCACTCCGCAGAATTTCCCAAAAAAGGGGGAGGCCTGTTTCTTGACCTTCCCAAAGGGAAGGAAAGGATAAATGGATGCTGGACGACCACTACTCACTCACCTGTAAATGCCAGTCACGCTGTAGGGACGACATTGGCGTCCTTTACTGAACGTGAAACGCCTTTGATGTTTCTCTTGTTGCTCGCGCTGTTGTTGTTGTTGCTTGGGGCGTTGTTGTTGTGCACCCAAATGCATTGGGTTGCCTCTGGATTGGGTCCTTAAAATCCTGAAGAGCTGACGTACGCGGGCCTTCACCGGATGGCCCAAATTCGTTATACTGCTACTGCCGCCGCCCCGGCTCCTTTGGCACTGAATCCTTTGCGGTTTCGTCTTGATGGGTTGTCTTTGTCGAATTCGATTTACTACTGCCTCCTTTATTTTTTTTCGTTTATTTATTTTTAAGGGGCTTCCTCGAGGAACTTGTATGGGTTTTCTTAGGGGCGATATACTGTTGGCTGCTCGGGCGTCATGATGCTTTTGATAAGACACACAGATCGTTGGGTTTCCCTTTCGGCTCTTGTTTAGGCAGCAGCTGTTTCCGTTTCCGCTTCCTTGTCGCCCCTTTCCGTTTCCGCTTTCAGCACAAGCGCACTCTCTCACTCACTCGCTGGCGAATATGCAGTTTTTGGAACAAATCGATATGGGGCCAGATTCCAGCTGAAGTCTTTTGTATCAGGTTTATCCTGTTAAACGCTCTAATCGGATATTTTATACCAATTTAGAACTGTTGAAATTACGCCCTTTATATTTCAGAAACTGGCCAACACTTTCTTTGAGTGGGGGAAAACCCTTTGCAAAATCCCTTTTCCGTGAAGACTCTTTTTTCGGTTGCCCGGTTTTCGGCGGATGCGTCTCTTCTGCTGCTGCTCAAGCTCACGACTGAACGGATGATTTTCATGTCCTCTGGAGGACGTGGTGGAAAACCCAACTGGCTTGTGGTGAGCTAGGTGGAGGTGGGTTTTCCTCCTCGGAGCGTGAAAAGCCAAAGAGCAAGAGGCCGCACGTCCTTTATTCGTTTTGTTTTGCTAGCCAAGTTTGGCCGCTTGTTGCCTACAATGCCACCTCCCCACAAAAACCCCCTACTAACCCCTAATTTCTGGCAAACAGCTGATGAATGAACCTGGATTGCATGCATTAGAAATTAAAGGAAAACACATGGTTTTTCACAAATATTAGTGGCACTCTAAAAAAGAGTGGTAGAGTAGAAATAAAATGAAAAAGACTTGCATTTAAAGATGCACACCCCGAGAAAATGGCATAGTAAAAAATTAAACATTAATATGTTTGAGTGTAACATTGTTTTTTCAAAATATAATAATTACTCTATAATTTAGAAATCTGAATGAAGGACATTTCCACAAGGTACATTTTTTACAGCTAAGTGGCGGCTTCTCTGCGAAGTTGTTACAAACTTTTGGTCAGGTGCAGTGCCACTCCAAGGAATATGAAGCTTATGGCCACGGATGCGAAAACGGCAGCCGGGAGATTATGGAATAACCACTGCAGGATCATCGTATAAACGGCAATGGCCATGAGAAGCAGGCACATGTACGGATACACCAGCCACTTAATCTGCTGCTAAGAAAAAGAATTTGGATAAGATGTTATGTGACGAGGGTTACTACCTTCCAAACTCCTATGATGAGTAAAACTGAGGCCAGAGCATAGATGGCCGATCCAGTGGTCCAGACAACCCTAACCGCCAGTGAAACGCCCGACGTGCTGGTCATGAAAAGGTAACCAGCAATCACACCTGACAGAATGGATAAGCAGGCCATTATAGAGACCACCACCCGGCATGTCGGCAGAAGTCTTCCATACGTGAATTCGTTCGCGCTCATTAAAATATTGTTTTTTGATTTTTAGTGTTTCCATTCATTTTTACGAGGTATTTTAAGTAAATTATGTCATGCTAAACGTTTTTTGATTTCCAGATGCTGCACCTTTTTTTTTAAAGCTAAGAAATTTAAAGATTAATTTTTGATAAGCGGTGTTTTCCATTACAAAGTATTAATTCCTTATTCTGGCACATATTTCAAAGTTGCCTCTTTTTGACTGATATTTTTTGTAGTAAATTTTTAGTTTTCACATAAATTTTATTTATATTTTGTTTATTTATTTTGTGACATGTTGAAATTTTGTTTTGATTTCAAACTTCGGGCGCCTCAGACCTATCGATATCGTTAACTTTAATCGGTTTTTCGATCTATCCCTTATCGATTACGATTACCTTGTAGTATTTTTAGTATATGTTTAATTTATTTTTACGCAGGTTATTTTGCGGACACGATTTCTCAGACGTGATTAATGCTTATTTCTGGCCTGGGCTTTCACGTAGTTCCAGTATTTGGAGTTGGAACCGAAGGACTACGATTCTGGGGAGGATTCTGTGCCGGAAAAGGAGCACGAGCAGCGGCAGGCGGTGGTCCTGCAAACCGTAGATCTCTCCCATCCGCCTGACTTAACATCCTTAAACTCCGATGAACTCTTAACCGCGCACAAATCATGGATCCCTTGGTGTTCTTCATAGTGCTGGCTTCGATCTATGGCGTTCTGTACTTCTTTGACCGGTTCTTCAAGGTGGGTTCCAAGGTGCAACCTCCTTTGACATCTGAATAATCTGGATTAAACCCGCAGAGCTGCATGCACTACCCATACGATGCCTTCCTCAAGAACACCGGACTGAGTGTGAACTTCATGAGCCTTCACTGGCACACGAGTGCCTTCAACAGGACCCTTCTGCGCTGGGGATCCGCCGGGAACAGCTGCACCCGCCGAGTAATGCTCACCAGCTTCAATGTCGGTGTCTTGGTCACCTTTTCACTGCTCCCCATTGGTCTCATCGTGCTCATCGCTACCATCTTCAGCAGTGGCGAGCAGGACAGTTCATCTGCGTCCACATCCTCGCCGGTTGGAGTGCCCGTTCAGCTGGAGATCCTGCTGCCGGGCGTAAACCTGCCGCTCGAGGAGATCGGCTACTACATCACCACTCTGGTGCTGTGTCTGGTGGTCCACGAAATGGGACACGCTCTGGCCGCCGTCATGGAGGATGTGCCTGTCACTGGGTTTGGGATTAAGGTGAGGATTGGGTAGGGAATGGCCTAGATCTTCCTAGCAAGCTTAAATTTATTCCAAAAAAGAGTTAAAATCTTGCATTATAATTAGTACACCTATTGATTTTCTTGACCACTTTTGAAGAGGACCGTTAACTTATTTACTTCTTCCATTCCAGTTCATCTTCTGCCTGCCAATGGCGTACACAGAGCTCTCCCACGACCACCTGAACAGCCTGCGTTGGTTCCGCAAACTGCGAGTGCTGTGCGCCGGCATCTGGCACAACTTTGTGTTCGCCGGCGTGTGCTACCTTCTAATCTCAACGGTGGGCATCACCATGTCGCCACTGTACGCCTACAATCAGCACGTGGTGGTCACCGAATTGACCAGGAAATCGCCGCTGCGGGGAGAACGTGGCCTGCAGGTGGACAACCAGATCACCCAGGTGAATGGCTGTCCGGTGGACAGCGAAGAGAGTTGGATGGCCTGTCTGCAGAACTCACTTAAACTCAAGCCGGGCTATTGTGTGAGTGCGGACTTTGTGCAGCTCAATGACGAGAGCAGCGCCATCTCGCATCACAGTATCGATGGCCAGCTGCAGTGCTGCGATGAGCTGAATCCGAATGTGAGCTGCTTCGAGGTGGTGGAGGATGTCAATGGGGATGTGCCCGTGGAGCTGCCGCAGCACGTGTGCCTGAATGTGCGCCGCACCCTGGAGGAGGTTACCGAGCACTGCTCCTCGGGAATTTGCAACGAGGGCTTCTGCCTGCGCCCGCTGATACGGAACATCACTGCCATAATGACGTTCAAGCGGCAGAATTCGCGCGGAGAGAAGCTGCCGCCAGTGATCTATGTGGGTCATCCGTGGGATGTCACGCGAACGGTGGAGGTTTCGGCCTTTGTGCCCAGGTACTCCTTCCTGAAGGCCGCCTGGCCGGATGCCTGGCTGCTACTCCTCAAGTACAATGTGGTCTTCAGCATAGGTTTGGCCCTGATCAATGCCATTCCCTGCTTCGGCTTCGATGGCGCCCACATCACGAGCACAGTGATACACAGCTTCCTGGTGGGCCGTGTTGATCAGCATGCCAAGAGGGATCTCATTTCGGTGATCATCACGAGCGTGGGCTCCCTGCTCTTTGGATTGGCCCTGCTCAAGGTGGCCTGGCTGAGCTTTCTGCGACCCCTGCTTTAGGAACTGATGCTGATAACTGATAGGATGGAACCAGGGAGTCCAACTCCCTCCAAAGACGCTAGACTGCTAATTCACCTCCACGATGCACACACGATACACACACAGCGAATTGTAGCACCTCAAAGATTCGATAGCTTTTGTCATAGTCCTTAGTCTTAACTCGTATTTATTTTCGTACGGTTGTCGAGCTCAAAAATATAAAATCAAATTAAGCAAAGATCGCGGTTTAAAGAATATACCTATTTGCCCTCGCTCACCCCGCTTAATTGGAGGCTGGTCTTTAGTTCGGTGAGGCTGCGTCTGCCATGTTGGAGGAGCATCTTGATGGCCACCTCGTCGCTCTGGTGGCGGTTCGTCTGGAAATCGTAACGAGCCCAGGATCGCAGCTCCAGCTGGCTGTTTTTGTCCGGAACCTGGCGAATGGTGCGGAAGATGTCGCGGTAGAGCTTCAGGACCTCCTGGCGCAGCATAAACTGGAGGAAAAATATAATATAAATGATAATACCGAATGGGCTTAAATAGCTTGATTTCGGTTAAAGTTCTTCCTTATAATCTTATTTAAGTAAGTTGAAGTTTTGTTGAATTGCAATTTATGGTTAGTTCACTTAATTCAAGTTTTACATGTTATAACTCATATATTTGATATATTAACCGATTTTTAAGTCAAAGTAATAGCTTAATGAAACCTAAATACCTCTAAAATTCAGCTTACCTGCTTTAAACTAAGTGCTGCTTTGGGAACCTTGGACATTTTGGGTTTAATAAGATTTATTGTTTGCTATTTGTTAATTAAATTCTTAAGTTTAGTTTATAGTTCTTAAAGTTTTCTTGTCATTTTCCGTAATTATTTGTAATCAGTAAAACCAAAACAGAAACAGCTGACTGTCAGCTGTTATGATTTTAGAGATGGGCGGATTCTTCTAGAGGTTGCACTTTAGAAACGATAGTTTGACAAGCAAATACAAAACCGTTACTATTTAAAAATGTTGATTAAAAATGCGCTTGAATGCCAATATGATTACAAATGAATAAGGCATTGTTGTATAAGTAACAATTTAAGATTTTTGTTTTTGCAGCTATTCGACTTAAATTGTAAAACAGAATTTATTAAAAAGAAATATCAAATCGTAATTTATATATTTTTATCTCCTTCTAGTCTTTTACACTGTCTTATAAAATAATCTCAAGACAATTCGGCTACCATATTTCGTACAAGCAATTAATTTAACAAATTGAAATCTAGCCCTGCAATTAAAAGTGTAATTTGTTTGCACTAATGATAGTATAATATATTTGTTTTTATGTCATTTATAATAATAATCCACCTAACATATTTCTAGATGTTCATTTATTGTCGGAGGAACATTTTAAATGAATTTATCTTATGTCGGCACTTAAAGTGAAAAGCTGTGTTCGGGGTGGGGAAACAATCTGCAGCCAGAAGTCAACGGCAATTAATGTTTAAATTGCAATTTTCATCAACTGTCACTAATGAGTCAGTCGCCGAAATAAAATAAATTGTTGAAACGCCCTAACAAACTTATGTTTTTGTCTACTGATGCGGCGTGGGAACGAAGGAATTAGTGACATCCAACACTAAATTTATCTGGCTCGTGTTCAATTTAAATAAAATTCTCGGCATAAAATGCAACATGTATTTATATTAGAGCATTGCTTATCCGCGGGCCATTGCTTGATTGGCATGCCAGCTGCTCCTCCTCTGGTTCTTCTCTGATTATGATATTCTACTTAGGCGATTCAATTGTTTCCTCGGTCATTTCGGTTATTTTAGCTATTGGGCAATAGTCGCGAAGGTACTGGGACTGGCACTATCTCCTGATAGCTGGTACTGGGCGTCGGCTAGTGGTAAGTTCTCCCCCAAGCACCGGGCTTATTGATAGAATTGCCAACTGTTTTCCAGAGCCAGTTACCAATAACTCTGTGGGCCAGCAGTCGGGCCCTCAGGAAATTGTGATTCAATCAGGTGAAAAGTTATTACATTTGAGTGATAGAATCCGTAGCCAGCTTTAGTGTGTGAAATAAGAAGTTTTAAATACAAATCAACGATATTAAAGCATTTTAGCTTATTATACAATATGAAAGCTATTTGAGACCAAACATAAGATATTTTGATGTACCAACCAAAACAATAAGGATGGCATTTATTTTGTAAAATATGTTTTAAAATTTCTCAATGTTAATATAACATTATAAAACCATTAAAAACATAATGACATTAAGAAGAACTTAACTACATTATTAAGATAGCCCAAATAAAGTTGGATTAAATCGCTTAATATAAAAACTACATTGAAATGATAAAAGGCTGATTTTGAAAATATAATTTAAATATTTTCAATATAACACAGATAAATGTCCCATTTTGGCACGAAATATAACCAAACGGATGATCAATTTCGATATTATTTATCCTCGGCTTGCCAAATGCGACCTTTCTGGCTGTCAGAATGCATTTTCTCCTCGCATTACTTAAGTTGCCCCCCATTAATTTCCCATAGCAGTTTCTCTGATCTCTGCCCAAGTGCGTTTGTCTCCGCCGGCACAAGTATTTTTTGCAAATTAAAACAAAAATTGGACATAACATAAATATCGCTGGCAGAACAAAACGAAGGCAGGTGAAGCGGTGCGATTTATTTTTAACTGCCCAAATGCTCCTACATATAGGAAATTATGCAAAAGAATCGCTCGCTGCAGCCGAGTGCAATTTCGTTTTCGTTTTCATCCGCCAGAGATGCCAGCGTCTGCGCCGCTCTCTTGAGTCACTGCACTGTGAGAAAAGAATAGTTTGAATCCATTGAACGAATCTGGCAGAAAAATGTATCCTGAAGAAATTTAATTTCGTCTGCTTTTAATTGTTTTGATATTAATATTTCTTAAAATCAATTTAATAAATTTAATTTGGGGTTTAAATTTCATTGTATATTTGAAGAAAATTCTTATATGGTATATATACAAAATAGTACTTCTTTAAATTTAAATAATTGTAATAAACTTTAAATGAAATCCAATTATGAAAGAAAGTCAATTTTTTGAACAATATTACATCCAGTCTAAGGAATTTTAAACTTAAGTTTTATATTTCTGACAGTGCAATTTCGAAGAAAAGAAGTAAACCCTTAATTTTTTATATTATCAAAAATTGTTTCAAGTACTTAAGACGGTAAAAAAATCATAAAGTCTTCTTGTCAATCCGGGTATATTTCTCCCCATGTGTCTGATGTTTTGGGTGCAAAGGGGGTGGGCCCTACGTCATCAAATCAGACCCACAGCTGCGCCACAACGATGACGAAGAACCGAAGGCAACAACAAAGCAACGAAGCAGCGCCTGAGCAGAGAAGCAGCAGCAAAGCGGCAGCAAAGCAGCAGAAAAGCAAGTAAAATCCACATGCCAGCGGACTGCTGCCTCAAATGTTCATGAAACGCGGACGCGTGTGGACGTCGTTTTGCGCCAAACCGCTTCGAATCACAAGAAGTTTGTAATTCCGAATCGGTTTTTATTCGGTTTAATCGGTTGATTCGAAACGAATTCTCGGGCCGTGCATGTGTGAAAGTGAAAACGAAATGAAGAATGAAAATGAGCACGGTGCATGAGTTTCCTTGACGTTCGATTCGGAAAATCCATCCCAAGAAAACTGAAAAGAGCGTGCGAAAGCAGAAAGGCCAATATATTGTGAGTGAGAGCTGAATAACACACACGCCAAAAATATAATGTTGAAAATATCTGGCTATTTTTGGAATATATATTTGTTTTACCCACACGCTGCATTGGAAAATTTGTGCGCCAAGTGAAGCAACACACAAAAAACCTCGAGAAATGATAATGCTTAAAAAATATCTCGTATACGCTTCCATTTGACTTGCATTTCGTTTTCGAAAACAGTTTTCAAAAACAAAACAAAGCCATCGAGAAAATAAAAATTTAAAAAAAAAGAAAACGAAAACGAAAAGAAGTCCAAGGCAAAAGAACACGCTAAAGTGAAATGTTTTTAATGGACAATCAGAAATAATGAAGATCGGGTAGATATATCGCGTAGAACGAGGAACGAACGCATTAAAGATGAACGAACAATGGCGTTACTTAAACGATCTTGGAGGGACTTGATGAAGGATTGCTTTCAATCCCATAGCCAAAACTTGAGTGTATATGAGCATTTAGTACATTTCCGGAAATACACATTGCTCAACTTTGGATACACAAAAATATTCCCTTCAGATTCCGATTACTTTCCTTCAGGCTGCACAGAAAAAAAGGTTTCAAAAAATGTCAATAAATAGTTTTAAAAAACTTATAAAAATGCAGTGCTGCTTGGTGAAATTTTATTTATATTTTCAAAGTTTTTTTTTAATGTTGAAATTTTGTATATATTGAAATGCTGCTAAATAATCTACTGTCATATTAACTTTTTTCTGTGTGGCCACCGTTTTAGTCTTTTTCTGTCTGATTTCCTCCGAAACGACAACAAACACAATATGCATACATCGCCAGTGTTGTTGGGTTTTTCTGTTTTTGTGTTTCGTATTTGAATTCGAATTTGTAGTCTTGTGTCATGCGATAGGTGGTAACGTTTCGCTTCGTACGGGGTATTAAATTACAAGACACCAAAGTGCGCGCCAAGCGAACACGCTCGCTCACAGATACTCACTTATACAGCGAGGTGTATAAATATATCGCAGTCCGCCGCATGCGTATCCAATGGATGCGAATCGGCCTGCAAAGAGGGCCCCCAAAGAACTGAGAGTATTAACAAAAAAAAAATAAAGACTGTGAATCGCTGTAATTAATTGTTTTGGGGCCGAACAGCATAAGTGATTGATGTAGCCAAAGTTCATTTGTTTACAGTGGCAAGATCAATGACTCGGCGCCCTAAAAATACATCCCCTCAAACCTAAACTACCCAAAAAAAAAGAATCTGCTGGCTCCGCTCTGACCCCTGACCTCTCTTGTGTTCCAGTTTCAACCAAAAGCACACAATCTAACCCGCTAAAATGTCCGCCAAGACGTCGCCATCGTCCACTTCCCGAGATGGCAACGTGGGATCCTCAAGTTCGATTCCCGTGCAGATCAAAAAAGAACTGCCCAGCGATGAGATAAAGGTGAGTCTATTCTTGTGAATGCACACTTTGAGATACTTTCTTGCCTGACAATTAATTACCCCTGTCTGCAAATTATTTCACCGAGTATTCAATAACAAGGATGCCGACAATGTATGGAAGGCAAAGTCTACGTTGGGTTTATAAATAAAAAAAGATTTTCGCTCTCTTGGCAAAACATTCTACTTGTATCGCTGTGAATTGCATATAAGCTCAAATATTATTATTTGTTTTTGTGTTTAGATGGGGAAAGGTGAATAACACCCACTCGCCATTTGCACATTCATATTTTACGTTGGAATAGCTTCGAAGTGGATCCAATATCCAGTGGGAGTAAACCTACTCATTTTTTAAAAATTGATAATAATTAAATTTGTCGGGTCCCTTTTTAATTTTTGTTGATCTTGGATATTTGTTTTGATCTAAAACTGCTAAAGACTGGTCCTTGGGGTGGATAAATTGTAAATATTAAATAAATTATAAAGAAATCAAATTGTAGAAATTATAAATAAAACTAAATATGAAATGAAAACAAAGTTTTATCATGAAGTAAAGAAAGTGAATTTTTGGATTAAGAAAAAGGGATAACATTTCTTATTACAAAGTATTTAATAAAACCAAAATTCGAGGGACCAAATATGTATCCACTCTTTCGTCAGCCAACCGTTTAACAAAACTATTATTTCAAATTTTGAAATATTATTTCATTTCTGGCAATTTTGAAGCAACCAAATAGCTTTGCAGCAGATCCCATATCCCAATTATTTCATCCTTAAAGGTCGTGATTATTGCGTTACCAGGTTTCCTGGTTTAACGAGCCCTGAAAGATTTGAACTGCATGTTGCAAATAATTAGACTCCGTTTAAAAGCAACCGAGTATTTCCAACTAAGCACTGAAATCCAAGAATCGGACTCGAAATGCCTGGGCCAGGGAACCGAAAAGCGTTTCGGCTTTCAGTTTGCTCTTGTGGGGGTATTTGGAAATGTTTATGCAATAGCAATACATACACCCGCGCAGAATAGAAGTGCTGCATAAAATTCCATGCAACTTTGTTTCAGAACGGGTCCGGAATTTGTAAGAGGAGTTGCCTCTGCCGGTGGTTGCAGCTGAGGAGATTCCGATTGCGATTGCGATTATGCTATTACGCTCTAACGCGATTACGGGACGTAAGTCGAGCGGGAGTTGGCGGTAATTTTATATTGATAAATTTTTATAATCATTTTAACGAGTGAGCGGGTCCGATTCCGTCCTCCCTCTCTCAGCCACCCCCCTATTTGCTTTATCCGCCAAATGAGCAAAATTAATTTAATGCCACAGACTGGGACGGAGAGTCCCAGAGCAACATTTTTGCAGCACGTGTAATCCGATCGGCGAATTGAAATTATACCCCTTGACTTGCAGTTGGGCGCAATGATACTTATTGTCGGCCATCGGGCATAAGGAGGGGAAATAAATATACAAAATAAAAACAAAAACAAAAACAAAGCAGCAGCAGCAAAACCAAAATTATTATAATGAATGAGCTGGTCGGGGGCTTGGGAACTGAGTATTCGCTGGAGACTGAGCTTGTCGACTGGTTTTCTAGGTAAACGTGGGATTTATACGGATATCTGTATAGTTATTTATGTCTGTCATGGGAAATTTGTAATCGAATGGCGAATGTAAATATTGAGTTGGTCCCTCACACAGTAATATATTTGTAATTGCTTACTTTAAAGATGTTTGCATTAAGTAATTTATTAATTTAAAAAAAAAATAAACTTAAAGCGACCCAATCTTTATTAAAAGGAAACATTACCAAATATTATGGTTTTAATCTACTTTAAACTGGTAATACTCTTAGCAATTTTGAAAAACTTTTTAAATTTAGAAGATTGTGGTTTTATCTTTGTGTAATTAATTTATTAAATGTGATTTTCTTTCACAATATTTAATTTCTTATGCGTATCTATTTTTTTGCCTTGTGTTTTGCCTGAAATTTCCTTTCCTTCAGGCTCTCAATTGTCGCCCAACCTCCTTTGTGTATGCAACACTTTGCTGTCTTAAAATATCAATTAAAAATATTGTAATTCATACCTTGATTTTTCGCTTACCTCACCCAGTTTCGGTTTCGTTTTCAGTATTTTAGCCTCTCCTGCGGCTCCCCTGGCCATAATTACAAGCTGCATTTGCTGCAAAGACAGCAAGCAGGACAAATTTTTATATTTAATGGCCCGAAGGCACACCAAAAAGCACACAGCGTAATTAAACAACAACAACAAGTCGTGGTGAGGGGTAGGGAATAAGGTATAAGGTATAAAGAGGTACAAGGGGAGGGAATTCGAACGCGCTCCATGGGTGCAATTTGATAGGACTTGGGTAAGGCGATATCCTTCAAGGTTTCCGCTGTGCGACCGATGTCAAGCCGAAGCTGAGGCTGGGCCATATATATCCACAAGGAAGGATGTCTCCGAGGCATACACTAGGCATTATCCTGGGAAGTGGGTAGAGTGAAGAAGTGCGGTAGGTGGCCCATCCATAACCGAAATCAATAACTCTTTGTGGGCGGATAGTAAGGAAAATATGGTAAACAAAGTATTGTGTTGGTGGCTGCTTAACATATATTGAATATAATAATTATTTTGGGGGAAAACAATAACACTTAATTTATTTATATACCATCAATACTAGTCCAACTTGTCGATTGATTTATAAAGAACTGAGTGCTTCCGATTATGGCATTATGATTATTATTAATTAAGAACGTTAAAAAATGCATCGTAATCAATAAATAGTAAGAAAATATATTGTTTCTGAAATTAAATTATCTATGTTTTTGTTATATTGCTGTTCATTAAAGAAAACTAAAAATACATATACTTAATACTGATAATATAATATTAAAAATAACATTTCAAAAAGCGATACTTATGATTGTTAAGAAAAATACATATTTTATATATATATTCTTTAGATGTGTTAATATAAAAAGCAAGTATTTTCACTTAAAGATACAATTTAATCCAATTCAAATAGAAATGGAAATATTATTGAAAAATTAAATTCAAATTTTTCAAAATTAAATTCAAATGCACATGCTGTCAAGTTTGTTGCACATCTTGGAATCCAGCAGCCACTGATGTAGTCACATAATATTCATTGCCTAAACAGCGCCCCCGAGTTAAGTGATGGCAGACTCCAAACGGAGAATTCTATGCACATAACCCAGGGTTCCGGGCAGTGGGGATATGGGATTGGGTTACACTCGCACAACCTGGACTACATACACATACAGTATACAGATCGGGGAGACTGCGAGGGGCCAGATGACGATGACACAATGACAGCGTTAGCCTGCCAGGCAGCCACTCAGGAATACCAAATACAGAGCAGGGGAGAGAGGGGAGTGGCGAATAGAGGGGGCTTGGTGGCAACTGGGCTCAAATGTCGCCGCAGCAGCAGAACTTTAATAACAGCGCCGCAGATTGGGTTACAAACAAAATAGAATATGATAAATTCTACACAAAACACCAGGAACCAGAGCTCAAAGGTGGGACAGAGGGGAGGCATGGGTAGTGCACAGGTAATGTGAGGCACCTGCCAACATGCAACACTCACCCAATCACCCACTCACCCCCCGCTCCGGTCCGCTTCCCCAAACAGCAGCTCAAATTAAAATAGCGTTAAATTAATTCGAGCCACTGCTGATGGCCCAGCATTACGAAAGCGAACCCGAGTGGCCAGGAGGCAATGTGGATGACTGGATGGTTGAGTGGGTGGCTGGGTGGATGGGTGGCTCGGTGGATGGGTGGCTGGGTGGATGGCAGGATGGGTGGGTGGCTTAATGCCCCTTGACTCGAAATGCAGCAGGTGAAAGGATCGATGCTCACACGGACGGATATCCAGTTTCCTAATTTCCACGGGAATTTAATAAATCTGTTTAAATGGTTTATAAAGTCAGTTGAAGGAACATTGGGTATTATTTCCAGTCTCCGGGGAAAATAAATGAAAACATTTATTGATACTTCAAAATATAGCTTAAATTCTAAAAACAGATCTTGCAAAAAAAAAACTAATTTAAAGACATTCAGAAAAATATGTTCCTATTATTGTTAAATTCTGTAAAATAATTCAGTTTTGAATTCTGAATTTTTAAGGAACAATAAATGGCTTACAACAAGTTAAATTTTGCATAAAAAAAATATTTCAATTCTTATAATAATTCTTATAAAAAATGTAGATGTTTTTTTCGGGAGAACAGAAATTGTATAAAATATTTGTAAGACTAAGAACATTACTTGAACCAGTAACAAAATAATCTATCCGACCTACCGCTCATTATATTGATAGTGACTGTGAAAGGTAACCCTTAGTTTTTCCCACCCACTCACCCCTCTTGAGTGTTTCGAGTTCATATGCATCTCTGTCTGAGCCGTGAGCCACCCATATCTGGTGTACATTAAAATGAAATAGAATACATAACGTAGTCGAGGGGCGACTGAAAATTCGCCGAGCAAAAGCAACAAACGGCAAAGGCCAAGTATGTCATGTAAGAATTCAAAAGAAGGACGCGCGTCATTCAATCCTGAGCTATCGATATTCGATTACAGCAAACTAAAAACCGACTGACTTTGTGCTCGACTCGCAAAAGCACCCATACGTACATACCCATATGTACTATACGTACGTCTGTCTGAGAAAACTAGCGTAATTCTAGAATTTGTTGCCATTGGGTGTTGTTTCCACAACCCAACCATATGACCATATACCATATATATGAGCGTACTTTTTCGGGGTGGTGTTCGGGGGGCCTGGGATTGGGTTCGGTCCGGACACCAGCTCTGCTGCAGCTCGGTTTTAGTTCGCCTTAGTCTCAGTTCAGTTTACTGGGTTCAGGGTGAGTTATTATAAGCGTATTGGGTTGCCGGTCCCGCTCCTCCATCCCCTAGTACCCCCCAGTACCCCCCATCACCCCCCAGTACCGCCCGTTCGCGCCTCGGTGTCTCATTGCCGTTGTCGTGTACTTTACATTATTCTATTGGGTTTCCTCGCCGGTAACCCAAGACGTGTATTAATGCGAGCCACTCGCATAACAGGCGGCTCCACTGCAGCGGGATAAGCTCCCTTGGATTTCTTCGGATGGGTTCGGAAGTAGGTCAGGAAAACGAAGTCAATTCGGTCGATAGTTTGGGAATACTTTTGAACAGTTACCTGTAATTTGTACTGAATCTTACCTTACAACTTTGATAACAAAATTCTTACACTAGATCATTTAATTATCTTTTCATTTTAAAACTATTTTTAGCAGACGAAATTTAGGTTTGTAATCTTATAACTATCCCAAGGTTCTAGTTTTAAAACTTGTTGTTCCTTTTTATTTTTATAAAGATAAACTATTTTAACAATAAGAATCAGATCTTTAAATAAATTATTTTCAGAGGTGGCCAAGCACTATCATTAATTATGAAATCAAAGAAATATTCAGTCTTCCATAAAAATATAAATCTGTTTAGATTTTATATTTTTTTTAGAAAACCACTATTATTTTTCGCAGTGCAACCAATGCCAGACAAAGAACGAACTTGGCTGTCGACTTGGAGTTCCCAGATCCCGCTTCTCAGCCGTCAAGTCGGTTCATTACGATTCATAATAAAAACGAAAATATGATATGTTTTTGTAAGTTGAGATTTTGCAAAACGAAAAGAAAACACAACACAACAAACTTGAGCAGTCAGAAACAGAACGAGTATTGCAAATGTATCCACCGGATTCTTGGGCAATAATTACGAAAAACATCGAAATGGAAAGCCAGCCAAGAATCCAAAGAGATCTGATTGCTTGGCGGTATGGAGAAAAAAGGAAATTCGAATTGGAAATGTAAAGGTAGACGTGTGTGCTTGTATATTTCTTAATACACACACACACTTTAATACATACCACTGTGCGGGCAGGGCGAATCAGATCCCAACTCCATCAGCAACAACAGACGGCATACAATTTCAGTTTTTAATTAATTGATTTTTATTCGCATTTCGGTGTAGAGTTTCAGGCATGGGCGCGAGTTTGAGTGTCGCTGGCGGAGATGGCACTGGAAAAAAAAACAGTGTCACAAAAGAAGTTTTTTCAAAATGTCTCCCAACATCTTTTATTTAAGTGAAAAATACGTTTTAAAAGAGTTTTTGACCCTGAAACCGATTATAAGATTAAATTATGTTTAAAACTTACGTTTTATAAAAATATTTGTATACAATTATGTTGACTTAAAGTTACGTCTGAAATTAGTTTTCAAAAACTAAGCTAAGCTGTTTTTGCAACCGGAAAATTTATAAAATCACTTCTTGTAAAAACTAGACAATTTAAACTTTTTTAAATAACAAGTTTGATACTATATTCTATTTAACACTAAAAAAAGTTGCAAGGTTTTTAGATTTTACTATGAGTATTTTTATTTGAGTATTATGACTAAGCGTGATGGTCGGTTTTGATGGGAATAGTGGCTATATGAAACTAGTAGCTTTGACTTATTTTTTCCTGTGCACTGCCCCCCTTTGGCATCCCTCTTGAACCCGTTGAGCCACTGTCAGGCAGCAGAAAGCTGAAAAACTGAACGAACGCACAAATCAGAAATTAAAAACCGAACATAAATTAACAGACAAATGATACTAAAAACCGAGCTGCCGAAAGAGACGGCGCATGGGATAATGAGAGAGACGGAGGGAGTTGTATCTGTATCTGCGTTCCTCCGGTTACTGCAAGATGCTGAACTTGAGCCAAGCGTGCGCCGCCATAACCCCCCTTCGCAACCACCCTTCCCCTTACCATATAGCCTTCATCTCCGTAATACCCATTTTTACCCCACCTGGACGAGGTCGCACCTGAGGCGTGTAATTGATACCGTACCCAAGCAGCCGGCCCCAGAGATTTTATCGTGCGAATTGTTAATACTCTTTTCGCTTTTCGCTCACTCGCAGCGAGAAAGACAGTGAAAACCTGAATGCGATTGTCACCGATATCCGACTGCAGAAAAATAACCAAGCGAGCGTGTGAGCGCTACTTACAGAGTGCGAAAGAGAAAGGTGTCTCCAGTGCGAAAGAGAGAACTAATGCGGTGCGAAAGAGAGGGGAAGAGGGGGGGTCTGAAAGAGACGGAGACTTATTAGACGACTTGCATTTGTCAGCAAGTTGGCAGCAACGCTTAATTTGAAGAGTATCGGATAACGCCGGGGATATCCAGTTTGTCTGGAGCTGGAGCTTGTGATAGATGCAATGGAGGCGATGATTCATCTGGCCAGCATTGGCCAATTGTGGCTTTGGCTTTGGCTTTGGCTCTGGCTTTGGCTCTGGCGCGCGGACCAATTTCCCCTGAATCTCGGCATTGGACACCGATTGTGGCCACATGGCGTATGAGCAATTTGGCATTCCGCTGAAGCAGCTACTTGACAAAATTTAAAACCAAAAAGGGCTGCACAGAAAAAAATATGTGCACTGAAGTATTTACATATTTCAGATATTAAATTCAGATGCCCTTTTTTACCCTTTTTTCATACCGTTTTCATTAGTTTCAAATTAATTTTTTACTTTTTTGTGCATATTACTTGAGATCAGGTAAAATCAGAAAGTTAATTTTTTTATTTTTAAAAAAGAGCAAAAAAGTGCTTTCCTTTGCAATTAAAACTTTTTCCTACATAGCTTCAAACGTAAAAGTTACGCTTAAAAAAATCAAGGTCATGGTTTATAGTATTCAAAAAGGTTTACATTTTTCTTAAAGATTTTTATATACTTATGTATCACTTTATAGCAGACATTTTGTTGCCCCTTCAATCCCCGCCTCTGGCTGAAGACTTTGAGCAGCAAAAACCACGTTGAATTTGAGAATTTCCATGTAACCCGATCCCCTAGTTTGAGCAGCTCTCACAGCCTTGTGTGAAATTTTTGTGTGCAGATACACATATGTACATATATCTCCCTTGTGATTGGAATGAAACTGGAATTGGGAATGGGAATGCAAGAGCCAGAAATAAGCAACTTTTAAAGCCGCAAATGCTTTTTGCATCTTGGACTTCAGCCTGAGGCTGAATTTTCGGCTTAAATTTAAGGCAAAAAGGCAGGAGAAACACGCAAAGCGAAAGAGTTTGGTCGAAGGTATGGGGTATCAATGTCGATGCAGGAAGAATCAAAACAAAGGGCGGGAGTGTCGTGTCCGGCCAAGGCAAAAATGCAAATGCCACCCACTTTGGCCACCAGAAAAAGCCAACTAGTCCGGCCCTCTTGCCGTAATGAAGTTCTCCGTTACCTGTTTGTATGCAGTGATAGTGATATCTCTGTGGAAACTCGGGTGTGTGTGAGGTGTTCGATGCGTGGGCTTTTCCTCCAGAGTTATCGATTTCACTGCAACATTGCTTTGATATGGTTAGATTAAGGACTCGCATAATTGGACATTGTGCTCAGAGGTCAACGTTCAAAGGTAAACAATAATGAGTGAAAGCCACGTTCAGTTGAGGTACAATGTTTTCGGACGCCCTGCCCTTTAAGTATTTCTTTCCTTTGTTTTAAAACCAGTAGTTGGCCACAACTTTACACCTGTCTGCATTAAGCCAAGTTTCAGCTGCCCGTTGAGTGCAATATACTTAAAGAAATGTTTGGAAATTAAAACTTAATTAATGAAATACCAAAAAAAAGAGAAAAGATATACCTAAAAAAATTTGTATTTTATATTTCAAAAAGACAACTTTGCAAGATTAACTTAAAACAATTAAGCACAACTTAGAATTTGTTTCAATACCCTTTACTCAAGAACATGCAACACATTAGTTTAAAAACTAAATCTAAAATGCCAGAAAAATTAAAAGGGAAAGGATCACGTCCTTAAGAATTTTTTAAGCACCGCATTTTAACAGTTTACTTTTGCAAAGATGTGTTTTCTTAATTTTTATTTTATGAATATCTTTTTTATTTTTATTTTATCAAATTTTAAAGTTTTAAGGTTTAAGATTATCCAATAAAACAAAATATATTTCATGAAAGGCATTTAAATATAATAAAAAATGCAGTTTTTGGAGTGTATACCTACCGATTCGATCTTTGTATAATATCGGGGGGAAACTAGGGGAACTGTGACAGCGATTCCATGTTTGCAACCACTCATCTATGGGTTTTTTTTTCTTTTTTACCCTTCCAGGAATTCGCACACAACACCATGAACGAGCTGCTCGGATGGTACGGATTCGAGGGTGTGGACGTGGATCGTCTGGATCTAACCGCCAAGACATCGCGCCTGCTGCAAAGTGCCGCTGCTGCCGCAGTGGCCAATCAACAGCAGCACCACCAGAGCCACCCACTGCATCAGTTGGACCAGCATCCGATTCTGGAGAGGAAGCGGGGCAGTCTGTTGCGCAGCAGTCGCAGTTCCTTGGCAGCAGCCTACCACAACAATAATAACAATGGCAGCAGCAACAAGAATAATGGATCAGGTGGAGGGGGAGGCGGTACTGGAGGTGGGAGTGGACGCAAGGGCGGTCTGATGAACTGCAGCAGCACCACCACCACGCCCTCGGACCACGACACTCGGAGCTCACGGGAGGAGGACTCCAAGAGTCCGCACTCCATCGGAAAACCAGCGGGAGTACCGCACACGGAGGAGAAAATAGGTGGGTATATTACAGAGGGCTCAGAACTACGATTTACAGGCCAGGTTTTATTTAGAAGTGCACTGCGATGAAAACATATAGACTTCCACCTAAAAGACTATAGAAAGTCAAAAAAAATTAAAAACAGCCAAAGTTATATTTATCAGTAACAAACATTTATTTGAGGATATACGGGTACTACAAAAATTAATAAGTAAATAATATTATTTCAAAAAGAAAATAATTTTAAGGCTCAAATGTTAAGTAATTTCTTTTGATTTCTTTTCATTGCTTATATTTTTTAAAATCCCAAAATGTTTTGAACACTTCCTACATTATTAAAACAAATTTGATTTATTGTATAACCTATCTAAAGCTAAATTAGATAATATTATTAGCTAAAAAAAACATATATATATTAAATATACAGCAACCAAGGATTTCCAGTTGACTATGAAAGTTGCAGTGCACAGTTTGCAGGTTACCAATGGGTAATTCGAGCTGATTGCAACCGAAAATGGACAGCAAAAGTCAAAATCGAAAATCAAAAATCTGTAACCGACTCAAAACACCAAAACAAGGGCGTAGGCAGGAATACACAGGTGGTGGCATTCAAAATTGAGTTTGAAACAATGTAAAAACTGCTATCGAAAGACTTGCTTTTGCTCCTTAACTAAACAAGATTGCAGCTTTCTGTCCAAAGTAGTATAGGAAATGTGACTTGAACCCCCAGATAAAATCTCTGACTACTTCCTTGCCTCGAAACAATCATCTACTTGTTTCTAGTGCTTTTTGTTTTTTGAAGCAAACTCGATAAGTTCAACTTTTCTGCTTTACCGCACCGCTGCAATTCCCTTCGATTGCAATCCGTCCGTGGATTCGGGTCTAACTTTTCAGCAACTCCGGCCGGAGTTTGTCGATGCCTGCTGCCTGCATTATCGAATAACAGATTCATTAAGATCCAAATATGGTTTACACAATTTTGGCCAGCAAAGTGGGGCAGAAGGCAGCTGGAGTCGGGCCATGTTAGGAATAGGATATCCAGTGCTCAGTTTGTACGGCAGCCTGTGGAAATCAATGTTGAAGTTCGCTAGGAATCAATTTCCATTTGATGGTGCTTTTATGGTTTTTAAATCATTACTTTTATTTTTAGATAAATTAATATTTGCCATGTTTTGCTTACACTTTTAAATGTTACAATGTTTTTGGGCTATTCTTTACCATTTAAAGCAATAAAGGGTGTATAAATTCAGGACTTCCTTTAAAAAAATAAAACAATAAAGGGTCTGAAAATGATATGATATTACTGTTATAAGTATAATTTTATATATACTATAGTTTTATACAGTGTGGGACAAGCTTGAAATTCAATAAGCAAATATTTAATATTTAAAAAGGATTTTTGAAATAGTAAGGATATTCTAAAGATGTACATTTTATATATGATTTATCTTTTATTTATAATTTATATAAAAGTATAATTTTATATTTACTTGAAATTCAATAAGCAAATAAAAAAAAACATCCTTGTTATTAAAGTAATTTAAAGAATTTTTGTAAATGGTTAGGATTTTCTAAAGATTTATATTTTATATACATGTATTTTTTAATTTTTATATTTGTATACATTTTATTTTTGTTACTTATCATAATCATATCATTATCATGTCCTCCACAGACTTCAGCAACTGCTGCTGGTGCCATCGACCGATCGCGGAGAATGCGCCGGACTACCTGACCAGCTGCGACGGACCGCGCTACTGCTCCGAGTCCTGCTTCGCCCAGAGCAGGAGGGCCTCCTTCAAGAAGGCCAAGACCTGCGACTGGTGCAAGCACGTCCGCCATGCGGTGAGCTACGTGGACTTCCAGGACGGCGCCTCCCAGCTGCAGTTCTGCTCGGAGAAGTGCCTCAACCAGTACAAGATGCAGATCTTCTGCCACGAAACGCAGGCCCACCTGGACATGCATCCGCACCTGCGGGATCAGGCCTTGGACGCGGGCAGCGAGGCGGGACTGATTACGCCGGATCTGTGGCTGCGCAACTGCCGCAGTCGCTCCGCTTCGCCCGCCTCCACGCTTTCGGTGTCGCCGGGTCCGGGTCCTGGTCCTGGACCTGGTCCTATCCCATCTGCCCCCCAGTCGCCGCCGCCTAGTCATCAGCATCCCAGCAAACCCCTGATCTCAGTGGCCCCCGTCTCGAAGTTGCTGGCCCAGAAGAGTCCAAGTGCGGCAGGAGCTCCGCCTCCTCCGCCGCCGCCTGTCCAGCGGCATTTGGGTTCGAAGTTGGGACGCCGAAAGCGGCGAGGTCTCTCCACCTCCTCGGGCTCGGAAACAGTGGCCAGTTTGCTGCAGAAACAGCAGCAGCAGCAGCAGCAGCAGCAGCAGCAACATCAGCCAGGTCCAACTCTAACGGCTGACTTTGCCGGATCCAGTGTGCCATTGCCTCCTCTCTCGCCCATGCCAAATATGCAGGAGTCTCCACAGCAGCAGCAGCAGCAGCCGCAGCAGCAGCAGCAGCAGGGTCCTGCTCCTCAAGGACCAACCCAAGGATTGCCAAGGGGGAGCCACGGCCATTCCGGCCAGCTACTTTGCCACGCCCTCGAACGGCGTGCCCATGGGCCATCCCTTTGTGGGCCGCCCACCACCGCCACCGCATCACCACTTTATGCATCCGCCGCCGCCGCATGGCATGATGCCCCGGGGATTTGGTCCTCCCTTCGGGCCACCACTTCCGCCGCAAATGCCCGAGCTGGGCGCCCTGCTCGGTGCCGTTCCGCCGGTGACCGTGATGGTGCCCTACCCGATCATCATACCCCTGCCCATACCCATACCCGTTCCGCTGCCGGTGATGGATTTCTACAAGGCACATCTGACGCCCGAGCAGCGCAAGCGTTTCGACGAGGAGCGCGCTGCCCCAAACAGGGGTGCAAATCCAGGAGAGCAGCAGGAGCAGCCACAGCCGCTGGACTGCAGCAAGGCCAGAAGTGAGCCGGAGGAGGAGAAGCCCGAAGTGGAGCCAGCCCAGCCCAAGGAGCTAGACAATGAGCAGGAGCAGGAGCAGGAGCAGGAGGAGGAGGTGAAGGAATCCATACCAAAGACACAACCAGAAAGGGACACCACCACCCCGGCTTCGCCGTCCAATTCACAGGAGTCCGCTTCGTCGTCCTCGCCGCAGGAGACGCACTGCATTGTGCGGGATGCGACGCAGTCCGAACCGGAGGCGGACAGCCAGAAGCTGCCCAAGCTGAAGATCACGCGGCTGCAGACCAAGCGGACGCTCATCCAAACCAAAGAGGCGGCGGCCGAGTGCAGTCGACCGCTGCGCAAGCGCAAGAGGATCATCGACTGCGATTTCCAGAAGATGGCCGTCAAGGAGCGTGAGGAAGTGACCACCGATGGCCACCAGAGCAATGGAAGCAATGGGAGCCACTCCAAGGAGGCGGATGCCGATGCAGAGTGCAATATGAGCAGCAGCAACCACAGCCACAGTAGCAACAGTAGTGGCCATGCTAAAGCTAAAAAGTAGACTTAGACCTTAGGATTTACCCTTAAAAAGTAGTAGAATGTATTTATCTATGTATGTGTGAGTGTGTCAGTGTGTATGTGTAAGCGGAAACGGAAATGGAGGCCACAGAAACTGAGAGAGAGAGAACGCGAGAGAGAGAAAGGCACAAAGTGCATGCGGTAAACAGAATTGAATCTTAATAAACTAAAATATAACTTATTAGACGCCATACCTTTCTTCTGGTTGGCAATAATCATAAACTTTAATAAGATACATTTCATTAAAAAAATACCATTTTCTTTAAAGAGTGCCAAAAGTAAACAAATTGTACTTAATATTACCAGAAACTAGCTGCAGGCACCTACGATATGTGGCCATAACCTTCAATTGGCTCCAAAACTAACCAAATTCAGTAACAATTTCCGAACCAATACAATTATCCAAAGGTTCTTACAAAAAATACTTCTAAAAGTAAAGCTATTTCAAGAGGATTTCTGAACCGTTGCAGTCAGGGAAATCTGGAACAGACGCTGTAACACTTAAGCTCAATTGTAGAGGTCCCATAGCGATATCTGGCCGTCCATGCCCGCCGCAGCCATAATGGGTGCCCGCCACATGGAAACCGGCTGGCTGGAGTAGGCCAGGTCCATTACGCCACCCTGCTTGTGCTGCGTGAGCACGGCCAGCGGTCGGAGGCTCTTCCACGAGAAGATCCGGATGCGTCCATCCCAGCCAGCGCTGGCGAACACCTTCTGATCGGAGCGAATGCGTACGCAGTTTACACCTGGGTTTTTGATGCTCAGCTCCGAGCCGCGCTGCAATTGCATCGATGGTCGCTGGTAGCTAAAACTAATCAGTTTTTCAGCTGTAGAAAAGGTAAGGAATTTAGCTAACAGGGAAAACCTCTTATTTAGCAACGCAGACTTACAGGGACTACCAATAATGCCGCGATTTGTGACTGGATCATAGTCCACTGTCGTGGCATCCGGGGCAACCTCCACCACATCCACAATCACGCCCGAACTGATGTCCCAGGTGAGAAAGTGGCCCGACTCGTAGCCAGCGAGCAGAAACAGCTGCGAAGCACTTTCGAAGGGCTTGAAGCAGGTGACACTGCCCAGTTTGGGCAACTGCGGATCGTCGGGCACCAGCATTTGGGTGGGCGCAGCCGCATCCGTCACGTGCAGCACCCCGATGGAGGACTCATCGCAGGGATAGAAGAGCAGCTGCTCGTTGGTGTTGCTGGTGCCCGTGTGCAGGGCCGATCGGCAGTAGCCCAGATGGTTGCCCGGAATGCTGCGCTCCTTCACGTAGCTGCTGCCTCCGATGGAGAACATGGTGATGGTGCCGCCCTTCTCCTGCGTCACCAGGCGGTCGGGGGTATGATGCAGGCTGCTGATGGGCTCGGATCCCACCTCAAAGTGCAGGGCGGAACGATTGGTCTGCAGCGGGATAAAGAACGAGCGGTTATTTCGTTAATCAAACAAATGGTGAACATACCAGACCTACAATCTTTGAATATGTTCTATAGTTCTATAGTTTTTCTTTAAAATTTAAAAAGCAACAAAAGTATAAGAATTAGAAGATAATCTTATCTTAGTTTGGTTTATTGTGGTTTTTGTTTATGGATTAATATTTTTAAAATCATGCCACATATTTTGTAGAAACTTTTTAGCTACATATCTGCCAAGTTTGCTAAGATCGAAAGTCTAACTATCTCTACAATGAATGTAGAATGGACTCATTGCTTCTAAATATAATTACCTTAAACTTGGCAGCTGGCACTGTGATAGGACTATAAATATTACAAGAAAGTTGGATCAAGATTGTACTCTACAGTTATACTATATGTACTTACAAACGATGGGGACAATCAACAGGTGAACAACAAAAACTTGTACCCTTTTATTTAAAACTATTTCAGGGAATATTTATTTAATTATTGATGCCAATTATGTTGTGCCTTAAAAACCGCAAATATATTCGGTAAATTTGAGGTTCTCACCTGCAAGTCCCAAAGGAAAACACTGCCTTTGAGGGTTCCCGCCAACAAACGATCGTTCTCCTGAAAGCAAAGTGAATGTACGGCGCCCATGTCGGGGGATCGGAGACTGAATACAGGATCTGGTGGTAGCACAGCCATATTTAAATTATTTAATTAAATTAACTAAATGTTGGTTTGTTTTTGTTTGTCTCGTGGTAGTGTGACCGCGGCAGGAATGTCTGAAATAACCAATCGAAGACGTTGCCAGACCGCGAAGTGATTATTGTAGTTGTGGAGAAAATTCGCCAGAGGGCGCTGCAATTGGCGCGCAGCACACGCAATTCAAACCATCAGCAGTGAAGCGAATATTTCTATTTTACCAATTAGCAAGATAGTCATTTTGCTGAGAAAACGAGCTTAAAATTTTACAGCGAAAAATCATTAAGTCGCTAAATGCGCGGACTATTAAAAAACATAACGTGCACCGAAGGCTTACGCGGCTTTAATGGACTTTGTCAGCGGTCTCTCGTCTCTCATGTGGCCTAGACGCTAAGGCCCGAATCGTAAAAGACTTGTCAGCCGCGCGCACTTGGCCAGATTGCGGGCGAACACGAAGAAAACGAAGAAAACGGCCAGCCCCAAAAATATACATATGTATATATCTACAGTCCATTCTGCCGGCCGTCCGCAACAAAGATCGCAAAATAAACATGCCATAAGCTCGTTAATCAATGCTAAGTTGACAGTTTTAAGTGGTTTTAGCGAGCCAACACCAGTGCAAACGGCAAATAAGTTCGAGACTCCTGTTGTGCCGCAGGCTCAGCATGATTTACGGTCCCAAAAAAATGCGCTATATTTTAATTGAGTGCAAGAATTTATTTGAAATTTTTCGGTTTTCGGTTTTCTTTTCTGCCAGAACAGGATCAATTTTTTTGTCCGTATGGAAATGGCGGGAAAATTGTGACTTCGCCAACGAGCTCAAAAATTTTGAACAGGTTGTTAAAAAATAATTGTTCTACATTGCAGCTAGTATTTGAAGTGCTGTTTTTCATTGCAACCAAAGACTGATATTTTAGTTTGACTATAACAATTAAATTTTGAAAAAACTTAAAAAATAATAAAGTTTTCTACGACTGTATGACGTTGGATTTCAATTTAATGCAATGTTCTTTACTCGAAAAAAAATATAATTTTAAACTTTGAATTTATAATATGGCATTACAAATCTAAGCTATGAAACCAAATGTTTGTATTTAAATAAATTAATATCTTTGGCATGGTGTTTGCATTACTTTCCCTTAAAGTTTTCCATTTCACGGGAGCTTACCCACTGCAGTCAAATTGCACTTTTTCACAATTGACTAGACAACTTGTAATTCGATTTGGAAGCAACAAGTTAACATGTTTCCCCCTTGTCCCCTCAGCCGTCTGGTAAACAGTTCAAAATGCGGCTATAAGTTCATTTAACGGCAGAGCCAATCATAAAAAAGGGTTCAAGCCCGTATGACCATTCCAGCTCATTTGCTTTCGACTCGGTTAATACTTTTTTGTCTCCCACAGGATAAAGGAGGTGAAGTCGGGCAGGGGGGGAGGAAAGGGAGGGCAGGGGCATAGGCAGAGGTAGCTGAACGACAAGTCCATAAATCTTTTCGCCACAGAGCCAGGCACAAAGTGAGGCGTTTAAACTATTTATGCATGTTGGGTAATCCATTTGAAATGGGTCAACGACTACAACAAAAACAACCACAACAACAACCAGGGCAACGGCAACGGGAACGACGAGCACATAAAACTCCTTAAACGTTTCCAATAACCCAGCCATCCAACCATACCAGCCCAGTTCGAAGTTGAAAACATATTGGCTTGTTACCTTAATGAAGTCATAAATTTTCGCTATCGCATTCGAGGCATCTCGGCCAGAAAAGAGAGTCCCCAGTTCCCGAGTTCCAGACTCTCGATTCTCGAGTTGGAGTCCCCGAGCTACAGGTTTCTAAGGAATTCCATTTCGGGATAGAATACTCTGGCATATACCAAGTGTTTTGGCACACATACGCGGCCACGGTCGATAGTTAATCAGGCTTAGGCTGATATATGCTGACAGAGTCGGTCTCTGGTGTAGGCCGCCACTCTCTCAAAAGGATACGCATTAAAGTCCTCATCGCGGAGGATGGTCATCGGCATTGGCATGGGCATGGGCATGGGCATCCACGGAATATATCCATGGCTAACCCCCGCTGGGCGAGTATTCCGCGTATTTGCGAGGCGGGCCATGGAAATGAAGTTATCACGCGACAAACAATGTCTGCTCCCGGCCCCTGCCACCAATAACTTTATATGGTTGTCATTATTAGTCGGAAATTAAATGGCAACGGCCACAGAGGACGACACTTGGATGACTACCCGACTTATTTATGTGCTACCTTAATGGAGCTTCATCTACTCGAAATTGAGACGGCGATCGGTTCTACTCCCCTTGCTTTTGTCGCTTCGGAATCTCGGATCTTTTGCTCCTTCTTGTGTTGAGTTTTTATTTCGCATTACTTTGCCATCTCCATGAATCACTCGATGGGGAAAAAGGTAGCACTGGGCTCTAGGTGCTGGTATTTTGATTTGAAGATCGCCAAGGTGAGATCGCCGGGTAAAGGGAATTCCAGAATCAGAAGGAATAATGAAAATAATGTCAAAGAATAATTAAAATAAATGCCACAAATATGTATATATATGACGAATGAAAAAAAATTAAGAAAAGGAATTCCAAAAGTTATCTTAAAAGATTTAGTATAAAACTCTGTGATTGATAAATATTTTATTTTATTTTTAATATCTTTAATGAAGCATTTTAAAAATTTAATTTGATAAGACTTTTAAATAAATAAAATAATAAATAAATTTAAAAAGATTTCATTGTTGATGTATTTATTGTGAATCACGTTATGAGAGGAACTTAATTCTTTTTGATAACTAATTTATATTTTGCTTTAAAATGTCTAAACATTTTACTTTTAAAGACACACTTGAAAACAGATAGTGTCACAATTTATAGCCTGCTTCGCTTTCTATTGTCTTTTCCTGAAATCCCATAGAAAGTGATTGCCATGACTGATGCAATCAATGCAGAAACAACTACAGATTCCCAAAAATAAGTTGGAAACTCCGGCCGAGCGCAATCAATTAAAATATCGACGTCTATCAGCGTTATTATAAATCAAACGATAACATAAAATTGACACTAAAGGCGTTTCGACCATTTTTCATGCCGGCCAACGACGCCGACGACGTCGTCGACGAGATTAAGGCCTCGGATATATGGCATCCGAGCCAGAGCTCGAGCTCAAGCTCGGTGGCCAAACTTAGATGGAGTCACATTTTGGGGCACTTGAGCTTGCGTCTGAACTTTGCTTCGCATTTATGCAAATTAACCGTTGCCGGACGGGAAAAACTGGTCCACAAAACGGCGAACGCAAGGCGAAGTGCTCTCTGTAATTGATCAATTTCCGCCGAGCAGCCAGACCGGATCGAATCGAATCGAAACGGATCGAATCGGATCGGATCGGATCGGTTAGATCGCCCAAAAAAAATTGAGAAGTTGGCAGACCCGCAGGTTGTCCAGATCGTATTGAATCGGATAATGTGATGGCCACTTGATCTACGGCTGATTTATGGAGTTCGACGAGGGCTTGGCTAATGAAATGCCACTTTAGATAACATATTTTGTGGCCGTTTTGTATTTAGCCCACCACTGCCATATAGGTACATATATGGAGAGTTATGACACCTGGTTTAGGGTGCACCCACATAACGACATTGGACATTCCACTTGATTGCCTCCGACTCTCTACGCTCCGCTCGCCTCGGATCGGATCGGCAATCAGACGCACTCAGCAAAAGTGCCAATCAAGCGCAGGACATGTCGACAAAGGATGCGTTCGTCCATAGTCCTGGGTGTGAACGTCGAATAGATAGGGACAGTAGGGTTGGGGGCACTGGACGTCGGTCGTTCGTCGGACATCGGACGTTGGAGGGCCTGAAATCGAAACCTTGTCGCTGGGGTGTCAATAACATTGTCCGTGTGACTGCCTCCGGGCATGATTGTTGTCGTCGTTCTACTCGTCGTTGCGGCCATTGATGATGTGAATGCGTTTTCAGCTCCATTGAACCGGCAGAAGCGGCACAGTGGAGTGTAGAAATCGGGTATCAAGTCTGGTTATTAACTTCGAGTTAAAAACGTTAGCTTTAAATAGAGCCATCTTTCAAAATATTTAAAGCAAATGCATATTTTCATTCTAAAACAATGTTTTAAACTTACATGTTGTCTTATATTTCGTAGAGGCTTTAAATGTTAATGTAAAGTTGTTGCACAATATATATACTACACTTCATATCAGTGAATTAATGTGGAGCTCAAGTCATGAGGCCGACTAAAAGTATTTTACAATCTTAGCCTGTCATACCATAAAATCACTACTTAATACTGTTATTAGTTATTCAAACCTTTTTTTTTTAGTGAACAAATAAACATTTGAGTTAACTGTTCAAACTTAAGTGAACACTATTTAAAACTGTTATTGGTAATTCAAGATTTTTTTTGGTAAGAAAACAAACATTTGACTTAACTGTTCAAACTTAAATGAAAAGTCAACCATTTCTAGTTTTGAAATAGTGCCTTTTAAATTTCCAAAAAAAGAAAATTTGTATTGTAAAATAAACCATATAAATAAATAAATTATTGCAAATACTTGTTCCACCGTTGCCCAGAAATTCCAATTTAATTGCGTGAATCAAAGTTGTAAATCATTATGCTAAGTGCCCTTTAATGTCTCAAAATGCAGCTGATTTGCAAGTGCAGGTTCCAGGTTGGTCCCACAATATGGAGCTGCTGGCCCCGAGGGCAAATAATCATGTCGGAACGGACATCGCCGGATGGAAAACGGGAGCGGCTTAAATTGCTACTGGCCAGGCTGTTGGCTGACATAACCAGAGGGCTGAGTTGGGTTGGGCTTGGACTGGTACCTGCTGCAGCAAAGAATAACTACTTTCAGTTATCAATTATGAAGTTAATATCTTCTTCAGGCCGCAATTTGAATGCCAAGAGGTGTCACTACTAGCCAGTTAGTGGCTAGAGTTAATGGTTCAATCAGCACTCTCTTTTATCCGCAATGGATGTGAGTGCCAATGCGATTTCCATTACCATTGCGGATGATAATGAACGGCGCTCTTTTAATTA